CCTATAATGCCTGATAGTCACAGTCCTAGCCTCCACTCCCTCTCCCGATTTGTGTGCTCTACCCTCGTAAAGACCAATTTATCTTTCCTTCTTTCTACACTATTTCATTTTTGTGTTATATACAACCAAAAACTTCTCCCGTCTCAATTTTAAGTCTATTATTACAAAATGATCAAATCTCATGATCCTATTAGAAACAAATATTTTTCTGCGATGAATATTTTTTGAATTTAAAAAAAAAACAGAATAGAATTTTTCATAATATGGGTTAGATTGTACTTAAAAACACATCATTCTATATATAACCACATCAATTTATGTGTTCTATGTAGATTGGCGTTAATACTCTTTTTGTTATATTTTTGAAAACCCCTACGTATATGTGGTTATATATAAATCCAATATAACTAACTCTAAATTAAAAATACTAAACCATCAACCTAAAAGCTAAAATTCTATCTCAAAAGAAATAAGCTTTAAACTCTGTATATAAATCCAACCCCAAAGAATGGTGTGTTTTCTTTATTTTGAAAAAAAACTAATATATTATATAGTTTCTACGTAAAGCTTGCATTAGTATGTCCAATAGAGACTAACACGAATACTATCATTTTACTATAATTTTAACGTTACTAAACGTTAAATGTAACAGCCGTGTTCTGCGGACTGACCACCGCAGAATGAAACGCTCGAAGTGATCGAGCTAGATCCGAGCCAAGAGGGGCAGTTGGGTCAACGAGAAATGAAAAGTCAAGGTTAAACTGAGTTGGGCGGTTAAATCCCAGCTGGGTGGATTTTTCGGAGTCGCGGTTTGATTTCAGACAGGACGGTTAGCGTGGTCGAATTCGGAGAGGACGGTTACCGCGGTCTGTTTCAGACAGGACGGTTACTGGCTCGTGTCGCGTGTCGCGACACGTGAGTTTTAATGAAAAGTGCGGGAACAGTTATTTATGGGCTTGGACGCCAAATCAAAGCTGGAATGGTTATCTGGGCAGTTCCGCGACGGTTACTGGGCTTTTATGTGCGAAACTAAGCCAGTTTCTGGGGATCACGCGGGAGAAACAGGGAGAAAGACTTAGAAAGAAAGGGAGAGAGTTTCTCCTAGAGAAAAGAGAAAAGGCTCGAGAGAATCGGTGAGATACTCGAGCGTGGATAACTTGGATCGTGGGCATGACGGCGACCGTGTCTGCGTGATGGCGATTGTGTCTTCGTGACAGATGATCGAGACGAGAGGTGACAGAATAGAAAAGGGTCAAGAGATCGGCGAGGGAGTCCGTGGGTAGACTGATCGAGTGCAAGTGGTCTGTGGGTAACGGTGATCAAGTCTAAGGGTCACAATGTCTACGGGAAACTCAATGAATGACATTAGGTAATTCATCGGGTAATCGTGGTAAGGGGAGTCACGGAGAATGGTCGAGTAAAGACTAGAGAGAACAGGGAAAGGAGGGGAACTAGCGAGAGTTCCGACGGGGTCGGAGTATTCCGCGAATGATCAAGTGGTTCCCGAAAGCCGTGATGATCAACGTGGAATCAATGGTGATTCATCGAGGATTCGTCGAGATGTAACGAAGGCTGAGAAGCCGAGAAAGGGGTGAATGAAGAGGGATGGCCGAGACATCATCACAGATTGATGATGAGTGCCGACGTTGGGCAACGTTGGGCAAGTTTTCGAAGGATTCTCGAGGAGTGTCGAGAGATCAGTGAGGACTTGAGAGTATTCTGCGGGGAAACCCGAAACTGTGGAACGTGTTGCATGGAGTTATGATCCAYTCCACCTCTCTCGTTACTTGGTCATGTGGGGATGGTTGGCTGAGTGACTAAGRGACGAGGTGAGGTGGTGAAGTGGATAGTGCTCGGGAAASWGAGGRCAAGTGTTCGGGAAAGTGAGGGCAAGTGTTCGGGAAGGAGGAGCCGGTTGCGAGTACAAGTCAATGGGCAATTCAATATCGGCAAAGAACAAGGTACATGTTTACCCGTTCTGTTGCTTATGATAGCTTAACTGTTCTTAAGCGTAAAATGTTAAGTGGTTGTCTTGATGTAACGCTGTTACGGTTGGACTCGTTTGTGATAAACCTCTTCGAACAGTTTAAAGAAATAGGCAAAAATTGATAGCGGTTCGGTCACAGCGTTGGAATTCTGGGTTAATCCGTAAATGGCCAAGTTTGGCCGAGACAAACTGATCCGGAACCTCACCGCGATAAGAGAATCCGGGTCGGAGCGTTTCA